GCTGGAATTTAGTGCCCTGAGGTCAGAGACAGTACACAACAAAAAACAAAGCACCCTCTAGCTCTTGGTTTCATTTGCCTAGCTTCTCCAACTCACAATGCCAGCTTGGAGATACTCAGGGTTGTGGCTGGTTGTTTTTCTCCCTGGCACAGCCTTGTTCAGACTTTTCCCGAGGGCTGGGCTTCTAGGGTACCCAGTTCCAGGAGGCACTCACTCTCAGGCTGCCCCTGAGAGCAGGTGCCTCAGCTGCCTCACCCTAGCTGAGGCCCGGGCTCTCTCCCACGTGGAAATAAAGCTTCTTCTGCCTTGACCCCTCCTGTGGTTCGTCTTTGTGGGCAGCCTTATTGTTTGTACCTCAGGGTCCCAGGTCTGTCCTCAACACCTGCATTCTCGGGGACAATGAAGAGATGGCAAGGCAGCAGCAGGTCAGCCTTGTGTGCCATCCTGGGCGGGATAGGTAGAAACTGCCAGGAGAGCTTTTTTTTTTTTCCTTTTCTTTTTTTTTCCATTAAATTGCAGGATGACAACATTTTGGTCCTATAAGAGACTTTAGTGATCAGATAATTTTATGTACCTGCTAATATTCAGGATTTTGAGGCTTTACGTTTGTTCCTTTGTTTTACTTTGGAGATTCTTGGAAGGGCTATTAAGAAAGGTATTTCTATAGCAGATGGTTTAGAGAGGGAAAGTCATTCCCAGGACTGTCACCTGTTGGGAAGGCAGTGAAATCCACATAACCAAGTCAGCTAAAAACTGGAGCTCCCAACAATGAGTGACACAATAATCAGAGCATTGGTGATAAAAGAGTCATAGCTAGACCAATATGTAGTGGAGCCATTTATATTTCTGTGCCTGCCCTTAAGGGCTGGATGGGAACAGAAGTAATATTAAAATAAATAATTTGAAGTTAAAATGATGACATCTCCATAGGACCAGTTTGAAAGACACCACACAATAAGTAAAGTCAAATAGAGGATGTAATCCTATATCCACGCCACATTAGACACTGACATGCTTTTGCTCGGTGAGTCTAACATAGCCGTTTTCCTCTGAATGCCAGCAGCTGGACTCTATATTTAGCTAAGTAAAGTTTCCCAATGCTAGGAAATTCATTCAAGCATAACAGTAATGAGTTAGCAGTTCTTTAATATCTACTCTGTATATTATGATCTAATAACAGTCATGACTTGTCATCTTCAAAGTATTTATGAGTACTTGATAAAACATTCTTCACCATCCACTTCAGTCTATAAAAAGGGCATTGTAACATTTTATGGGTGAGGACCCAATACCAGACATTAGTGACTCATCATCAACAAACAGAGCCAGGTTTGGACCCAATCATTCTGGGTCTGCTGACCAGTAACTATTTCATGTGGACAGTTCATTCCCTTTGTCAAGCAATGAGCCAATTAACTAATCTGGTAACAGAAACATCGTTTTACTAATTCAGTTTTTTTCCCAGTTAATTCTATAAAATTCATCACCCTAGAGTTGTCAAATAGAAATGCTTGAATTTATGTTTATGTACATTTCAGATATATACGTTAAGTTTCCCAACTGCATCAATTTATTTCCACTTATTCTGGATTTCCTGAGAGACCTGACCTTATATAAATATTTTTTAAAGAGGTAAATTATTCAGAAGATTAAATAAGACTAGTTAAAATATCATCATAATTAATTTTAAGAAAACATCCTTAAAGGGCAGTTCAGAGAAAAGTCAATTGCAAAAGAGGCTGCCAATATTTGTCAAGTAATGAAATTACCTTTCTTCCATAATTTCTAAGTTATACTTCAGAGAAATTAATAAATACCTTACCTGTAAAATTACCAATAAATCGAGCTAAAAATTATTGTTCAGAGTTTACCTAGTAAAACATACTAGTGCTTCTGTTATTAGAGTTTTATTTTTCTGATTCTAAATGTACAGGATGATAGCATCTTAAATAAATTCTGCTGGTGTTTCATTTCCTTTGTAGCTACCAAAATTACTGTCAAATTATCTTATGACCTAACATAAAATTTTAAATAAAGTTGGCATTGCATTTATAATGTGATGCTAGAGAGTCTGCTTATTAACTACAAATTCAAAGCATCATGAAATCAAACATAAAATACCACAGTCTTATTTATTAGCTATACAGCAAAGATTTAACTACCTTCTCTTAACTGTAGAATTTTTCATCTAAACCAAAGACACATTCAGCTTAGTCATCACAAAGGTTAAAAGACAAAAGTTCGTCTTGCCAAGCATGAACAGTAAAATGAATTAGAAAATATTGATTTAATAACAAGGACCTGTGTTCAGGTAGCTCTGGCTGGAAGTCAAATACAGGAGGACTTCCGTTTATGGGTTGAGCAGCAACTTCTCTCTCACACTTCTTATTTTAGCATTGAGTCTTATGTTAATCCGGGAGTTTAAAAGAACCGGCCAAAATGGTGGCAAGGAAGCCTACAGTACATAAAACGGCATCGTGTCTCTCACTTTGAAATCAATGCAAAAATTAAAGATAAAAATGAAGAAGTAAAGCAGCTTTTTGTCAATTAACTCAAGGGCAAACATTTGAAAGGTAACTGGAAAATAAGCTAAATCACTTTGAGATAGAAAATTGCAAACTCCAGATTTTTTTAAGGTACCTCTATCACAGATTCATCTGCAAAGTAATGTGAGCATTCTGCAATTCCAGGAGCAGTGCAACTGTTAAATGTTATTTAAGGAGCAGAAATTCTGGCCTAATAATCGAAGACTGCTTCAGCTTTCCCTTGGCTATGTCCACGGAAAGTCACTGTGTCACCCTGGCCAAGTAAATTAACATATCTACATCTCATTTTGTCTTTCTGTAAAATATTGGTCTCCCCAGAAGCTGTTGGAAGTATTTATTAGACAATAATTGTAAAAGGCTTTGCAGGCCTGATCGTGTAGTTACACGCTAAGTACTAATGATTGCAAATGAGGTATCCTTCAAAAGAAACTACTCTGAGGTTCATCTGCGAGTGACTGCGACCCAGAACCATTGACTCAAATGTTCTTGAGAGTTATGGGTTAAGGGGGGAAGCTCTTCTCTACGTCATTTTAGAAAGACACATGCGAAAGAAGACTAGATTTTAATTAAGACTATATTTTAAACTTTGGAAAATTTGCTGGTTTTGATCACATCAGGATATGACAAATTAGTTCAAATACAATATGATTATTAGCATAAGGGGAATATCAGTATTAATTAAGTCCAGTGAGAGAGGTCTACAAAATAGGTTGGGATGGAAGGAGCATGGACTTCAGAGTCAGACAGACCTGGGTTGGAAAACTGGACAAATTACTTGACTTCCCAAATCTCAGTCTCCTTGTCTGTAAGACAAATAATAATGTCTCCCTCATAGGGCTGCTGTGAGATTAAATGAGATTTCATGTGAAAAGTACCTTATTCATTGGCTGGCTGTCCATTAGGCACTTAAAAATAGTAACTATTCTCTTTTGACTGAAACCTGTACCTAAGTGATCTTGTTTGAGAGAATCTTGTCCAGCAGTTCATTAGCACTTTCACCAAATTGGAGCAGATCAAGACTCCACGACTGCCAGCACTGTAGATGACTCTTTAGGAGTAACAGATTTTTTCACAATAGATTTTAAGGTTATATTAGTAGTTTATGCATTTTATACAGGCTACTCATTTTATAAGTTTTCTTAAAGCAAGTACAAGTTGTACGTACACTCATATGCGTGTGTGTATATAAAAATAAACATATAAAATATATATGTATTATTCTTTTTTTGATAGAGAACCACTGGAAGCCTGTGGAATATTTCCTCTATCGTTAGGATGTTAGCAATGAGAAATCGGAGCTCTCACCCAGTCTACAAACTTCTCTTCACAGACGAGGAAACTGAGGCCTAGAGAATTTGGATAACTTGTGTGGGTGCTAAAAAATAATTAATACTTTTCCTCCCACCTTTAAAGTTCTAATTGGGCTAATCAAACAAAGACAGATTAACAGGAGAAAATCAAATTCTTTATATATGCCTGTGGGGAATTCACATAAGCATGAAAATTCCAGAGACAGGCAACATTGGGTGTATATGATATTTTTTGACAAAAGAGAAAAGGTGGGGGGACAGGGTATTAGATTTCAGAAGTGAGAACAGGTAACTTACAGGTAGTTGAGGAAGAGGGGAACACACATGACAGGTAAATTCTTGCTGGGCAACTCAGAAACAATGGGACATAGGTATCTAGCTAACATGCCCATGCCTAAAGGGCTCTTATTTATCATACTTAATTCAAATTAGGCTAAGGCATACATCCTAAGATTTCCTTCCTGATGGGCACTTTTCTATTGACTCTCTTGGGCAAGAAAGGGGAAAGGCCCAGTGGTTCTTTATGAGTTTTCCTTCTTAATAAACAGCTTAATAACAGTATCCCAAAACGGTAGTTTCAGAGTGGCAAAATTTTGCTTCTCTTCGCTTGTCAAAAATCACACAGTGCTCTTGACTATCAATCCAATGTTCTTTTAGTGCCTTTAAATAAAACTTAGAAAGCAATACAACATACTGCTGCTTTGACAAAATAGTTCCTGATCAGAGATTTGAAGCCTCTCCTTGGCAGGAGTCAAATGTTATACATCGCTGTGTTCACACAGGGCCTAGCAGAATTCTTTGGAAGAGTGAGTGTTCAATATATATAATCCAAATGAATTAATGGGTTTTTCTTAAGGCTATTAGTGTGTGTGGCTTTTTCTTTTTGGGGCAGGTATATAGTTCAATGAAATTTGATTTTGCTGTATATAATAGTTAGAAACTACATTACGTTTATGATGACATAAGCAAATGAATAATGGAACAGTTCTCTGGAATTTTTAAAAAATGACCTGGCATTATATAAAGTAAGACTGACAGTCGGCCTGGATGCTACATAGTAAAAGTATGTTTTTTAAAAAGCTAAGATTATGTTTTTGTACTTAAATGAAACAACTGCCTGAAATTTTCATCTTTCTTTCCCTAGCTACACTGAGTCTTGGACTGTGTCTCTGTGAGGTCACACATCGTGATGGAAACTGAAAACTAAGGTAAACATTAAGATGTTGATGTAATTGCAGCACAAATGAAAAAATCAGTTTACAGTTGTAATCAGAGAAGTGATACCTATTGACTTGCATCACAATGTTATATTTACATAGTAAATTTACATGGTAAAACCATCCCAACTGCTGCAATATTGCACAGCCATTAAAATTCATGATCTTGAAGATAATGTGGCAACATGGGGGGAAATGTTTGCGTTCTAATATTCCACTAGGAAATCAGTATTTATGGTCACCATGACTTTATAGAGGAGAATTCTGCACAGAAAAAGGGCAAAAAGGAAATATACCAAAATAATAACAGTAGCTGTGTTAAGGTGGTGGCAATATGAGTGCTTCTTTCTCATCTCTAGTTATATTACTTTAGTAACAAAAAAAAATTTACAAGTACAAAGAAAATGAGTGCTATAAAAGAAAGTATAGTAAACATCCGTTATGCGTGGCAATCCCAAATCTCTTGAAAAAACTGTACCACATTTTGATAGTTCACCTCAGTGTGAATTTTGTCTTCCAGAATTCTAAAATTTAATATTTCCTAATCTCCCTAGCCTCTGTCTGAGTCTATAGGGTGAGATCCTATAATTCAGTTTCTGGCTCTCCATTGCACCTGTCAGAAACTACCTGAAGAACAGACAGGGTTCAGGTACCCATTCTGCTAGCACAGGTGGCCTCAATGTCATGGTTCTGAAGATTTCAGTGGGAGCAGTAGTAGCTTCCCCATTGCAGCAAAGACAGTTTGGTTCTGGGACTGGTGGTAATTCACCCTAGAACCTGTCCCTCCAGCCTTTCCAATGACTACCTGGACTTCCTAATCTCCCTTAATAAGTCCCTTCTCTTTTACATGACCTAGAGTTGATCCTTCTGTCTATATCTCAGAATGCTAACAGGAAAGCCTAACAAAACTGGAATTCACCTAAGAAAAGATGAATGAGGGGTGATATAACTAAAGAGAAGATCATTCTAAACTTCAAAAGAATACTGTGATCAACTAAAAGACCTTTTATCAGGTAAATGTCCTGAGTGTCATTTCTGGGCAAAGCATTGAGGAGTTGGTGTGTGACCCTGCAGCTCTTCTGCTGCAGGAACCATGGGGTCCTCGAGTTCCAGATGATGCGGCTACAAAGTGTCAGATTTCCCCATTAGCCCAGGTACCTGAGAGACTGTGTGGAAGAGAGCTCCTCAGTGATCCAAACAGGACATGTAATGTGAGCAGGAAGTAAATCTCTGTTATGTTAGGCCACTGAGATTTGGGAGTTAATTTGTTACCACGGCATAGCCTAATGTAGCCTGATTGATACACAGTGGTATCTAAAATAGGATGTGTTTAATGATCAAAATACAAAAATATGTACGTTTAGAAGCCTTGTATGATTGAGAACATTTTATCTCATAAAAGCAAATAAAAAAAGAATGGATTAAGGATTTGCTGTCATTTTGCACCAAGTAAAGATGTCTATCTGGGTTTACCTGAGAGTCAAAACAGCAACAAAAATGTAACACATTATGAAAAACCCTAAATAGTTAATGATCTTAAACAGAACAAATAGGTTATGCTGTTCAGTTCTCACACTATGAAAAAAAATAGAGAATTGGTGATGTATATTCATTTTCTTAAAATAACCCCCCCAAAAGCAGTATGCAATAATAAAAAAAGAAAGCAATATTTATTTATTGTGAAATTCTTGATTGTCTGCAGAGAGAAGTGTGAGAAAATTGCTAACAGGATTTGTGGGAATTGCTTCTAGCAAAACTAAAGGAGATGTGAGTGCAACACTCATTTGAACAGATTCATCAATGTCTGTTGCTTTTGCAGTCCTTTTCCTTTTCAAATGTCTATTTCAGCCTGTACAACAGTAGTTTTTTTTTTCTACTCACTAGTAAATGACCTTTATTTCATAATCTGTATGATGTCCTCTCCCCTGAAATAGCCACTGACAAGGTTATTTTCTATTTGTCCTTTATAATTTGCACCACCCTGTCTGCACTGAGTGACCCAGGCCACTGGGCCAACACTGGCAGGGAGAATCATCATCACAATTCTGTTGTTTGAATGTTTCCAATGTTCAAATGCCCTAATATTAATAAATTATCCTCTGCTATGTCTTAAGGACTGTAAAGTGTTTTTGAAAGAGTTGGGGTTTTTTTGCTTTGTTTTGGCTATAGCACAGAATATCAAATAAGAGAAAATGGGATGAAAGTTGGAGAGATTTCTATTGGACATAAAGAAAAACTTCCAGACTGCCACAATAAAAAATACTGGAATGGATTATTGAGGGAGAGAACCTGGTCTTTTGTCAGGCACACCATTAAGAAAAACTAACTTTTCTAAAGGCAGAAGACTAGGTCAGATACTCTCTCATAGTCCTTTCCAGCTCTGTGGTTTTATTATCTGGAGACTAAAATCACATCAGAATTCTCTTGGCTTCTCTTGTTTTCCTTTATATCCTTCCGTGTCTCTCATATCTGCCATTGACTGGTATCCTTGGCCAAGCAAACACACACACACACACACACACACACACACACACACATATGCCCCGCCTAGAATGGGAATGTCTAATAATTCTTATCTCAAGTATTCCCACAGACAGATTCCAAACTGTGTGTGTCTAGTAGAGGAGAAGTTCACCAGGGCCCTTCTTGTCTAACTGATTCATCTCTGAGCATAGCCTGTGAGTGTAGGCCTCATTGACCAGACCTTGAGGGTATCCCCCCACAGGTGTTTCCTTGGCCATGGAAAGTGTTCTCATACACCCATCGTCTCTCATCGCACCACCCTCTCCTCTCCCCTCACTGGGCTTCCGCTGCTTTTCTCCCTCCATGTGGTTCCCACCTTTCCTCTCCAGCAGTGACCTTTTTCCCACATTAGCAAGCCTTTGTCCGCCTCCTGTGTCCTGGAAATCCTCAATCCCTTCCGTGGGCTACGAGTCACAATCTTTCTTGTTTCCACCTGTTCCTGCTGCTGAATGGGAGAAGATGGAAGGTTTATATCTTGAAGGTGGAGACATGGTCAGAAGTACATGGGCCGCAGAGATTTTTTTTCTTTTTCTTTTCTAACCCTTCTCTGCTTTGGCCATCCCATGAAAAATTCAGACATCTTGCATCAGATTGTTAATCTCCTGCCAATAGCCTTCAATAGGTCCATATATGGGTGTCATATTCCACTTGCTACCGTAATTTAGGACCTTATCAATCAAATGAGCCCCTTTCCTCCCAGCCTTGTGGAGTATTGCACGGTCCTCTTTTATTAACTAGTCTTGGCACGAGCCAGTGCCACCTAGTAAGAGTTGAAGGACAGGCATATCATACATATAAGGGATTATGTAAGGTGCAGAGGTCGGCAAACCGTGGCTGTGGCCTGTGAGCCAAATCCGGCCCCCCACCTGTTTCATAAGTGGTTTTATTGGGCCCAGCCATGCCCATAATTGTCTATGACTGCTTTGGCTCTGCAGCAGCAGAGTTGAGTAGTTACAACAATGACCACATGGTCCACAAGCTTCAAATATTTACTCTCTGGCTCCTCGCAGAAAAAAATTTGCCAACCCCTGATACAGTGTATCACAACTAAAAAGAAGACTACTGTAACCGAAAGGATTCATCTTAGCTGCTGCTTTTAAGGGTTTTGGATAGTTTTTTCTTTTTTTCTTTAAATAGGACACTTAGACTCTGGAGAAGTTAATCCTTCCATTTTTCCCTCCCTATGCCCTGCATGCCTTTATTGTGGCTAAAAGAGTTGTCATATTTAAAATGGCAGAATCTATAAAAATTAACATATTTTAGTCACTACCAAACGTTTAACTTAGATGGGCAAGTTCATAAACATGAAACCTTGGAGTTGCTCTTGACTCCCTCTCCTCATCCCGCTATTCATACCCAACTAGTCACCAAGTTCTATTGCTTCTACCTCCTAACTGTCTCCTGCATTAATTCCCCTTTCTCTATTCCCGCTACTGTACTTGAGGCTCTTATCTCTTAACTGTACTGTACCTGAACTGTTATACATCAATGGCCTCCTACTCCCCTGGCCTTCAAGCCACCGCTCCCCTACTAAGTCATTCTCACTATATGTACAGTGCCCACCCACCCTCCACCAAACCATGTACAGCGTCCCTGGACACACCAGTCGTGTATGGCTCACCACATGTATACCTCTGGTCTCAGAATTAGGGCTCCTAAGCCATTAAATAGCACTGCTATTTACCTAGTCATTCAAGCCAGAAACCTAGGAATTATCTTTGATTTGTCATTTTCCTTCATACTCCACACCTAACTCATCAGCAAGCCCTATCAGCTCTACCTCCAAAAATGTATAGTCATCCTAACAGTCAGAGTTAAATTGACACTTCTGGTTCCCAGGCCGATTTAAGAACCATCTGAAAGGTAGACACAGAAGTCACACAAGCAGAGACCAAAATATCACCTTTATTCATAGTAGAGCTAATATTTACAGCCTATTCTTCTACCTGCAAGCGAACGAATTCCAATATTATGAACCCACAGCGAGGCTTCTTACCCACTCCCAGGCTGTTTGGGCCACCGCAGACCTCCCTGTGCAGGTTGCAGCGCCTGCCCCTGTAATACTTACAGTGTGGAGGGAAGAATAGGCAGAATACACACGCGCAGGAGGCAGACAGGTCTCCAACAGGAAGGAGGAGGGAGAGGGTGGAGGAGGCTGCCGGCATCATCCAGCACTGCCTGACGAGTTCTGGGAAGAGTGAGTGGTGATGAGGAAAGACCAGGGAGTTACCAAGAAGTCACAGGAAAGAAGATTCCCCTCCTCCAACATTCCCCAGAGTTTGTTCTTTTACCCCATTAAGATTAACCATTAACTAGTGGTGTGGCTGCCCTCCTTGGGAGGCAAAGTTAACAATCCACCTGGGCAATCCTGGTCCCACTGTTCAAAAGATTATTCTCCCACCACCGATGGCTCTCCTGGGATGCTGGTGGGCAGTGTTTTATTTTTTAACTCCAGGAGGTCCTAAAATGGGTCAGAATAACATATTAATTAAACTAATTCTAAAGCCTGCATCCAAGGTTAGAAATTCTTCCTCTATTCTCTTACCATTTCAAACCATGTCCAGCCACACTGTCCAACATAGCTCATCAAAGGTTTGGCAATGAGATAAAATAACAACATAAATATATTCCAGTCATAAAAATGCCATCAACATACAGAGTCACAAATTTGAATATTAACTGCTTTCTTAATGGGTTTTCCTGGGAGGAAATTAAAGTTAAAAATTAAATTCCATGCAAATTATTCCAAAGATTTTAGAGGTCAAAAGAATTAAAGTTCAAAATCATATTCTCTTACACTTGTGAATTAAAGATCCAAAAATTAAAGTCCAAATTTTTTCCTCTTTGATTTCTTATTTCTGCCCATTTTCAGCTAGAAGGGTGTTTGCTACCAGGTACAGCTAAGGTGTCTTTAGTAGCTACAACCTGGGCTATCTTCTATGGAATGGATATAGGTCCTTAAGGGTGCACACTGAATGCATCTCCAGCATGTTTTGTGTTTAAGGGCTCCAAGGCTTACGAGAACGCAAAGGACTATCACAGCACTGGCACCCAACCCACCAAATCTAGAAAACAACTCAATCTTGTTATCACAAGTAAAACCATGTGTCCAGAGGCTAGAGTTAGTGTCACCAAAGACCCTAGTAGAGATCAGTGGTATTGGATGAAAGGAGGTAAGACCAACAAAATATCTTGTTTTAACCTGTATGTGCTAGTGAGTCCAGACTAGTTATCTGAAGCCCACAATCTCTGATTTTACACTGAATCAGGATTTGTGTCCCATCTAGTAGTTAATTTTGATACCATGTATCTACATATTAGGGATGGGGAGGAGGGCGGGGAGTATTTGGTACTGGGCATAGGCACATAGCCTTCTTTCTAAGATAGCATTTGAGACATTATAATCTTCTTGTAAAGTTAGAAATTTATGTTGGTGGCAGCCCAGATAACAGGCTTTATTTGATGTGCTCCTGCCATCCTATTTATTTACAATCTCTGATTTTCCATTTTCTCTTTGAGCTCCATGTTTCCGGCATCCCAGTGCAGCACTGAACATCCCATAAGAGGCCTCATCCACAACCCATAAGCAGGCCTCTTTGGTCCTAGGCCACAGAGGGTACTTCTATTGCCTCTTGCTATGAAATTGCTTAGAACTATAAAATCTACCTAGGAAAGAGATTTTCACCGAGTTGTCATATTTGATTCAGCTAAAGAATTACTCTTAGTAGATTCCTGAACAGGATTACTGATACTTCAGAGCTTGTGTTTTCTCGTGGTCTGTGGGAATCTATTCCTCTCCAATAGGCTCTTTGAGTCACTGTCTTTCCCCCTCCTTTGAATATTCCAGTCCTTGAATATTTATTTCTGGGACATCTTTAACTGAAGTACTAGAACATGCTTCTGGTGTTTCATTGCCCTCTGCTGTTACCTGCTCCTTCCAGAATGACTCAGTTGAATTTCTAAAAGTTTAACCTACTTCTTAAATTGGTTGTGTTCCTTTTCCAACACAGATAGGGTTGGGATTGAGGGCCTTCCTTTTATTTTCTCTTTGCCTTCTAACCCAGGAAATAGATGATCTAGTATATTCCTCTAGGTGTTTGATGTGTAGAGGTCCACCTTAGTGAGATATATGAAATCAATAAATTCTAAGGCTACCAAAAGCTACAGTGTTCAAACACACGCTGGTCACTTTCTCCTACTCATGTAGGATAGTCCCACCTGGAACATATTATCCCGTCAACCAACATCCAGTCTGGGCCTAGACTCAGTTGGTTATTGTTCTGTCTGGCTCTCTGTTCTCATTTCTCATCTCTGCTGTGCCTTCCCTCCATGTGCCAATTCGATTAATTTCTCCAGCACGTGCCCTCAAGGCACAGCCGAAACCTGTTTGCCACCTGCAATCACCGTCTCTGAATCTAACCCAGACAACAATGACTTGAGTATTTTGTGCTTTTCTTCCTAGTTTTCCCCTCTCAAATTTGTCCAGATTCTTTGTGACCAGTTGGTATAACTACACCAGTCTTCAAAAGACTGTTCCCCAATTGACCTGACTGTGGATTCTTCATCTCCTTTCAGTGGAGGCTCTCAATGAGCTCCCGAATCTCGCTTTTTGCAGGCAGTGGGGGATGAATTCACTCAAAGGTCTTCCATCTTTTCATTTGTTTTTTAATGGGGCCCAGTTACTTATTCCTGCACTAGTAATAATTGAAACATCTTTACCTTTTCTAATACCCTCTTTATGAACAATTAGACCTGAGTACACTTCCTATTCCTTTTGTGTATGTCCACTCTGGTCTCCAAGAGCCCATACTGATCTCCCTATAGGTTTAGCCTCTCCACTAAGCACTCATTCTATTTCTACTATGGACAGCATGTTTGTGCCCTTCCCAAATTCATGTTAAATCCTAATACCCAATAAGGTGGTTTTTGAAGGTAGGGTCTTTGGGGGTTGATTAGGTCATGAGGGTGGAGCTCTCATAAATGGGATTAATGCTTTTATAAAAGAGACCCCAGGGCCAGCCAAATGGCGTGTTGGTTAGGAGTTGGCTTGGGACACCAGTTGTGAGCAGCAGGGCCCTGGTTCGGATCACACATGAGGGCCAGTGACACTGTGCCCTCTACAGCTAAGATGGTGAACAACAGCTTGACCTAGAGCTGAGCTGCCGTGAGTCACCCACCAGTGATGGTGTAGGCTGCAGTGGGGCTGGCTGGCATCAGGCATGAGCTTTCGTGAGCTGCTGTGAGCCGCCATGAGCGGCTGTCCAATGACCGGCAAGTGACTGCCTCACCCGGGAAGAGCGCAATGATAATACCAACATGGGCCAGTGAAGCGACGTCCTCCACAACTAGACTGAAGAACAAAAGAACAGCAACTTGTCTGTTCCCCTTCCCCCAATTCCCCAATAAAATCTTTAGGAAAAAAAAAAAAAGAGAGACTCCAGACAGCTCCCTGTCCCTTCCACCATGTGAGGACAGTGAGAAGACAGCAGTCTATGAACCAGGAAGTGGGCTGTCACCAGCCACTGAATCTGCCTGCATCTTAACCTGGGACTTCCCAGCTTCTAGAACTGTGAGAGATAAATTTCTGTTGTTTATAAGCCACCTAGTCTATGGTATTTTATTATAACAACCTGAATGGACTAAGAGAGTTTCCTAAGAGAAGTTTACTCTCCTTCCAGCTGATCATCTTGTCTTCCTTTTTTATTTTGTTTTATTTGTTTTTTAATTTTTTATTTCATTCTATTTAATTTTTATTTCATCCAGTTCCTTTACTCTTATAGTCAGGCTGACACGTAACTTTTACATTATTCTAATTCCTCCTTGATTTGCTGAGGAAACTTTATTGCTGGGGATGGAGAGTCTAGGTACAGGCCTTTGAGTTGTTTTTCTACTTCAACCTAAGAAAATGGTTTATTCTCTTTATCTTAAGAGTTCCATTCCTGTGTATGAGTTTATTAATAAATTTTACCATCTTTTTATGGGAGATTTGCAATTTGGGTGTCCAAAATCTAAAACCTTGGTTAGAACTTGTCTGACAAACCAGAGCCACTTGAGGTCACATAGTGGGGCTGGCTCTTGACCCTATGAACAAGCCATATGAACGTTAGTTGTATCACAATTTTACCGCCTAGGCTCAAAACAATATAAAGTGGAAAAAATTTCAGACAGCTGATCTACCACAGCCTACTTAGAGCTAGCGATTATAATTTAAAGCCAGAACCTTGTCTGCCATTCAAACCATAACCATCTCTTGCCTGGATCACTGCAATAGTTCCTAACTCATCTCCAGGCCACCATTCTTATCCACGCCAACAGTCCCTCTGCCATATAGCTGCCAGAATGAACTTTTAAAAACTTATATAAGGTGAAAGAACACTATCAAGAAAGTGAAAAGATAACTCAGACTGACAGGAAGTTTTTGCAAATTACGTCTGATAAAGGCCAGGTATCCTGAATACGAGGTCAGACAATTAAGTTCGTGAACTCATCCTAGAAAAAGCGCTACATACCTCATTGCTGAATATCGCTACGGTCACTTTCAAAGTACACCCATTGGGAAGATATGCCCCGATGCCTAGTCTACCCTTCAATGCAATTTTGGAACTCTTTTTCTGGAATGGCCATCAGAGCTATCATATTACCCCTGATGTCCTGAATGTCATCAAAATGTCTCCCTTTCAACATTTCCTTTATCTTCAGGTAAAGAAAGAAGTCCTTGGGGGACAGATCAGGTGAGTAGGGAGAGTGTTCCAATACAGTTATTTGATTACTGGCTAAAAACCCCCTCACAGACAGTGCCGTGTGAGCTGGTGCATTGTCATGATGCAAGAGCCATGAATTGTTGGCAAAAAGCTCAGGTCATCTAACTTTTTCACACAGCCTTTTCAGCACTTCCAAATAGTAAACTGTTTATCCAGTTGGTACAAATTCATAATGAATAATCTCCCTGATATCAAAAAAAGGTTAGTAACATCATTGCAACAAGTTTGCGAACCTAATTGTCCAATCTCATATATGAAGAACTTCTACAAATCAACAATAAGAAGATCAACAAACAATTTAAAAATGTACAAAGGACTTGGACAGACATTTCTCCAAAGCAGATACACAAATAAGCATATGAAATGACTCTCAACATCATTAGTCAGTAGGGAAATGCAAGTCAAAAATCACAATAATATACTTCACGTCCACTAGGAAGTCTATAATCACAAAAACAGAAAATAACAAGTGTTGACAAGGATGTGGAGAAAGTGGAATCATCATACATTGCTGGCAGGAATATAAAATGTTGTAGCCACTTTGGAAATGAATTTGGCAGTTCCTCAAAAGTTAAACATAGAGTTACCATATGACTTAGCAACTTTACTCCTAGATATATGCTTAAGAGAAACTTAAGCTATATTCATACAAGAACTTATACACAAATGCTAAAAACCAATGACTCGTGTACTTTAAAATGGTGACATTTATGTTATATGAATTATATCTTAATTTTCAAAAACATTAA